GTCCCAAGCCGGCTGCCCTGCCTCTACACCATCTCGGCCCCAATGTAGTCAGATGAGTCACGATTTGAAGTTCTTTATGGAACGCTGTGACGCCATGTCATCCGGACCAGAGAGGACAAGGGTAGCCCAAGTTGTTATCAACGCTCCGTTCAGAAGCCTGCATCACTGATGGTATGGGGTTGCATGAGCACTTGTGGCACGAGCAGCTTGCATGTCTGGAAAGGCACCATTAATGCAGAGAACAATGTTCAGGTTCTAGAACAACATATGCTCCCATCTAGACATCATCTCTTTCAGGGAAGACCCTGCATTTTTCAACACGATAATGCCAGACCACATTCTGCAGCAATCACAACATCATGGCTACGTAGGAGAAGGATCTGGGTACTGAAATGGCCAGCCTGCAGTCCAGATCTTTCACCTATAGAGAACATTTGGTGCATCATAAAGATGATATTTTACGCTGGGTAACACCATTCTGGTATTGCTGCACAATCTTTCTGCGCAACAATGGTGGAATTGGTGATCCTCTTACTATCTTGGTTTCTGAGAGACACTGACACTCTGAGAAGCTCTTTTTATACCCAATCATGTTGTCAATTGACCTAATTAGTGTTAATTGTTCTTCCAGCTGTTCGTTATATGCTCATTTTCGTTTTCCCAGCCACTTATTGCTACTTATCCCAACTTTTTTGGGATTTGTTGACACTGTGAAATTTTGAATAAACATATTTTTCCTTCAAAATGTTAAATTTACTCAGATTAATCTTTTGATCTGTCATCTATGTTATATTACGAATAAAATATTGACATTTGCCATCTCCACATCATTGCATTCAGTTTTATTCACAATTTGTTGAGCATGCATCAGGATAATTTGTTTAGTGTCCCAACTTTTTTGGAATCCAGTTTGTAATTTAGTAGACTTATTTGGTTTTACCCAAAACGTCCGCACGTCTACTCATTCTTATCATAACTCTCTTGATTTTGTTCTGACCTATGGTATAGAGATTAAGGACTTGGTAATAGTTCCTCAAAATCCTATTCTGTCTGACCATTTTTTAAAAACCTTTGAGTTTACATTAAATGACTACACAGTCACTGAGAGTAAATTTCATCTCAGCAGGTTCTTATCAGAAAATGCTGTAACCAAATTTAAACAATTTCTTCCATCAATATTTTCCTCTGTCTTGCAGAGTAATGCATCAGAGAACAGAGACTTAGATCATCTAGTTGATCATCTTACAACTTCAATGCAAACTTCACTTGATAAAATTGCTCCACTGAAAAAGAAAGTAATGAATCAGAGGAAACTGGTTCCTTGGTTCAATTCTGAGTTACGTACTTTAAAGCAGGCATCTAGAAACCAGGAGAGAAAATGGCGCTCTACTAATGTTGAAGAATTTTATTTAACTTGGAAAGATAGTCTGCTAACATATAAAAAAGATCTCCGTAAAGTTAGAACTTTATATTACTCATCTTTAATAGAGGAGAATAAAAATAACCCTAGGTTTCTGTTTAGTACTATTGCTAGACTAATTAAAAGTCCCGTCTCTGTTGAAGCATGTATCCCTACAACTATAAGTAGTGATGACTTCATGAGATTCTTTATAAATAAAATTATTTCAATTAGAGAGAAAATTCAAACCATCCTTCCTTCTACTATCTCTAGTCCCCTGTCAAATGAGGCAACTTTAAAAATTTCACTAGAGCCTGATTTATGTTTGGACAGTTTTTGTCCTGTTGAGCTCTCTGAATTGTCAAAAATAATAATCTCATCCAAACCATCCACATGCCTGCTAGATCCCATCCCAACCAGACTGTTTAAAGAGGTATTTCCCCTAATTAATGTCCACATTTTGGATCTACTTAATTTGTCTTTAATGGATGGTTATGTACCACACCGCTTTAAGGTTGCTGTAATTAAACCATTACTTAAGAAGTCTGATTTTGATTCAGAAATTCTGGCCAACTATAGACCTATATCTAATCTAACTTTCATCTCAAAAATTCTAGAGAAAATAGTTGCAGGTCAGTTGCGTGAACATCTACAAAGAAATAATCTGTTTGAAGAGTTTCAGTCAGGGTTTAGATCTTATCATAGCACAGAAACAGCACGAGTAAAAGTAACTAATGTTATTCTCATGGCCTCAGACAATGGACTTGTGTCTATACTGGTCCTGTTAGACCTCAGTGCTGCATTTGATACAGTTGATAACAATATGTTATACAGAGGCTTGAATATGATATTGGGATTTCAGCAACAGCTCTAAAATGGTTTAAATCATATCTATCTGATAGATTCCAGTTTGTAAATGTAAATAATAAATCTTCTTCATACACCAAAGTTAGTCATGGAGTTCCTTAGGGCTCAGTGCTTGGGCCAATACTCTTTACTTTATATATGCTTCCATTAGGTAAAGTTATTAAACAGCATGGGATAAATTTTCATTGTTATGCTGATGACACAATTATATTTGTCCATTAAACCCAATGAATCCAATCAGCTACTTAGACTACAAGCATGTCTTAAAGACATAAAAACCTAGATGACCCTTAATTTTCTCCTGTTGAACACAGACAAGACTGAGGTTTTGGTTTTTGGACCTGAGCACCTTAGGAATACATTTTTCAGTCTTTCTCCCTCCTTAGATGGCATTACTCTGGTCTCCAACTCTAATGTTAAAAATCTTGGTGTTATTTTTGATCAAGACATGTCTTTTATCCACCATAATAAAAACGTTACTAGAACTGCCTTCTTCCACCTGCGTAATATCACTAAAATTAGAAACATCTTATCTAAAAATGACACAGAAAAACTGGTCGATGCATTTGTCAAATCTAGACTGGACTATTGCAATGGTTTATTATCTGGATGTCCAAATACTTCTTTAAAACGTCTTCAGTTGATCCAAAATGCTGCTGCCAGAGTCTTAACTGGAGTTAGTAGGAGAGATCATATTTCTCCAGTTTTAGATTCTCCATTGGCTCCCTGTCAAATCCAGAATAGAATTCAAAATCTTACTTCTAACCTACAAAGCTCTCGACAACCTGGCTCCATCTTATATTACAGATCTTATTGTTCCATATTTTCCTAACAGAGCACTTCACTCTCAGGCTGCAGGTTTACTTGTGGTTCCTAGAATTTACAAAAACAGAATGGGAGGCAGATCCTTCCGTTATCAGGCTCCTCTCTTGTGGAACCAACTTCCAATCTCTGTCCGTGAGGCTGACACATTATCCAGTTTTAAAACTAGGCTTAAGACTTTCCTTTTTGTTAAATCCTATAGTTAGGGTCGGCTTGGGTTTCCTGAGCTGTCCCTTAGTTATGCTGCTACAGGCTTAGACTGCTGGAGGACAAACTGACCACAATTTTCACTCTGCTACTGTCTTTACTTACTCTGCTCAACCTGTTTTGTATTTGTAATTATTTTTTCTATCCTTAACATGTGTTTTTTTTTTTGTTTTTTTTTTGTCTTTCAGGTACACCTGGGTCTATAACTGGACCTACCATTCTGTGTTTGTCTGTTTCTCCTTCCTGTCCTCTCAAACCAGCCGGTCAAAGCAGATGGTCTCTTGTCCTGAGCCTGGTTCTGCTGGAGGTTTCTTCCTTTTAAAAAGGGAGTTTTTCTTTCCACTGTTACCACTGTGCTTGCTCAGGATGGGAGACTGCAACAAAGCCAAGATTCAACTTGTCTGCTGGATTCCTTAGATAGAGAACTTTACTAATTGGCTTTTATGTATGTGAATGTTTCTGTAAAGTGCCCTGAGACAACTTTGTTGTGATTTGGCGCTATATAAATAAACTGAATTGAACTGAATTGAATTTAACACAAGAATGACTTGTCAGTTTTACAGATATTGAGCTAGTGTTTATTGTGGTAGTAGATTTGCAACATGTAGTCTGTGCACTGATTGTGCGTAAAGTTATTCTCAAGCTTTAATTGAAACAGCTAAGATTTTCTCATAAGTTTTAAACTCTTGCCATGACTCATAGTGGGCAATATGCATTTTTTTAATCCACTAAATGTTTTTTTTGTATTGATATATATTTTTTAATGTTTTTAAAGTTGTCAAACCCAACGTGGGCAAATGCCATAAATAAGACTTTGTCCTAATGTCAGATTTGTTGTAGTTTACTTGAAGGATGAGGTGTTTTAGTTTGATCTCTTTTTGTGGTCACACTCAGGTTCACCAGCTGGGTTGTGAGGCTGTGATGCTGTTGCTGGAGCTGAATCCAGATCAGAGCAACCTGATGTTGTGGGCCGTGGATCGTTGTTACACTGGCTCACATCGAGTGGCCGCTGGTTGCTTTAAAGCCATCGCAAACGTTTTTCACAACAGGTGATGCGCATCAGCAGGTCTTTTTTTTATTTTTTATTATTCCTTTACTGCTAGAAACTTGTGATTTCAATGCAGCCCGTGGGATGTTTTCTTTTAGGGATTATCAGTTTGACACTGTGGTGCTGCTTAACCTGATTCTGTTCAAGGCAGCTGATTCTTCCAGGGATATCTATGAGGTGGCCATGCAGCTTTTACAGGCCAGTCTATTTCTCATGCAAAGCTTCTTTATGTACAACCATGTTCTGTAGTGTCCACATTAAGAGAGGTTTTATTTTTTAACTTTTAATATATTGTGACTGTGGTTTGTTTGGAACAGATCCTGGAGCCAAAGCTTTTTCGTTATGCTCACAAACTGGAGATCCAGCGAACAGATGGCATCCTGACCCCTCCCTCACCGCTTCCATACCTGTACTCTGTGTCTTACTACCAGCTGTCTGAGGAGCTTGCAAGAACATACCCAGAGCTCACGCTACCCATATTCTCAGGTCAGCTACATTTTGATTTAGTGCAGCTGTTACTGAGTCAGAGTGAGCAAATTACTGCTGCTACCCAGTTAGACTAGCATCACCTTCCTTTAGTTTGTAAACACATCCAACCTGCACCTGTCTGTGCTGTAGAGGTGAGCCAGCGTATTCAGACAGCGCATCCTGGTGGCCGTCAAGTCATGCTGCACTACCTTCTACCTTGGATGAACAACGTGGAGCTGGTCGAATTCAAACCAACCACACGGCAACCAGAAGACTGTGGAAATGCTGAGGAAGAGGAGGATGTCCATGACCAGGAGATGATGATGGTTAACAGTCGCCGCTGGCTTCGTGGAGAGGGCTGGGGCTCCCCTCGTGCAACAACCATGGTGCTGAACAACCTCATGTTTATGACGGCTAAGGTGAAAAAGCTGCTGAAATATCTAACTCACCACATTAAGAGTTGCATTCATGGGTATGAAAATGCTGATCAGCTTAATTATTCTGTCACTGAATCATTTTTCAGTATGGAGATGAGTTTGCTTGGTCAGAAATTGAAAATGTTTGGATAACATTGGCAGACAGTTGGCCAAAGAACCTCAGAATCATTCTGCACTTCCTCATCAGTATGTCGGGGGTGAACAGTGACCCTAGCCTCTTGCCCTATGTAAGTTGCATCAATTTTATCCCCTAATCCATGTTGCAGTGTGTGGTTTGTGCTCATGTGTTATACAAATGTGTCCTCAGGTGAAACGAGTGGTGGTTTACTTGGGCAGAGATAAAACTATGCAGCTGCTGGAGGAGTTGATGTGGGAGCTTCAGCTGACTGATCCAGTTAGCTCAGCTGTTACTCACATGGACAATCCCCCCTATTACCGCATCACCTCCAGTTACAAGATCCCCTCAGTTACCTCAGGTAGGAAGATGCCAGTTTACTGCTTTGGCCATGGTTTCATTATTAAATGCGTTTCCAGTTCCAGACTTTATGTTTCATACCTCTTCCATCAGGAACAACCTCCAGCAGCAATACGATGGTGGCAGGAAATGATGGTCATCATGACAGCAAGACCAAAGACTCTAACATGGAAGACAGGTAAAACTTTTGTATAACGACTGCAGTTTTCATAAAATGATCAAGCTGATTTTAAACAAATTTTGTCAAGAAGAAAATTTTAATGATGTTTTTATATTTGGTAGGGTCATTAGAATCTCAATGTTATGTGTGTGTTCTATAAAGAGTAGTAGTTGCTAAATGGAAAAGAGACAAAACTGTTGGTGTTTATCATAAAAAATGGAAGGTGGTCCTCAGTCTTATCGACTACAGCTAGTTTTAGCCTTTTTAAAAGTAAAAACAATTGATCATACATGTGCTGTTGTGAGCTAAATATATAAAACATTGCTGATACTCAAAGTGTTTCCATCCATCTCACCTAATATATACAGTAGTCCCTCATTTGTCATGGGGATCTGTATCCTGAAGACCTGCGATAAGTGAAAAACCGCAAAGTAGGAATATTAGTACAAGTAGTAAGTAGTAGTTTATTTTTATTTTATATATGTGTGTATATATATATACAGGTCCTTCTCAAAAAATTTGCATATTGTGATAAAGATCATAATTTTCCGTAGTGTAATGATAAAAATTAAACTTTCATATATTTCAGATTCATTGCACACCAACTGAAATATTTCAGGTCTTTAATTGTTTTAATACTGATGATTATGGCATACAGCTCATGAAAACCCAAAATGCCTGTCCCAAAAAATTAGCATAT